GTGTGTATGTGCGCGCGCGTGTGTGTGTGTGCGTAGTTTGGGTGGTTGGGTGTAACAGATATCATAGATGTATTTGCTTGTGTATATATTAATGTGTGTGCATAATGTAGATATGTGTGTATATAGTATGTGTTTTTGTTTATAACTATGCTAGTACTTCTATATCACGAATATTACCACTCCATCGAATGCTGCTTTTTATGGTCATCAAGTGTGCCTTTGACACCTCGATTCATCACATACCGTAGAAATAGATGATCGACAGTAGAATACATAGTACAATTGTGCGTGTCGTCAGTCTAAAATTCCGATATTTTAACTGTACCCAGTCTCTAATCCTTCTTGCTGAGGAATTGGCCTTTGTGCCCCTGAATTCGTCCGGCAGACTGTTCTGGCGTTTCTTGGATATTAGAAGAGGCATAGCTAAAGTATATCTTTGTAGTTATTGGTGGTGTGTGTTGTAGATATTCTAGTATAGGTTATAGGTTTTAAAGTGTTCAAATACAGATATAGTTCTCCTATATATCTGCATATATGTCAGCCGGTGGTGTATGGCTCTCTCTATGAGTGCTGGCGTCGTCGAACCGAATCGAGGGTGACCCTGTCAATCAATCATATGGGATTACTGTGCTGTAAAGACATCCACAAGTTCAACGTTTAATTTGAACTTAGTTGATTGTGTAGAGGACTCAACACAGCTCACTCGGACATACAATACGGGATTAGCCCGAGGTGAAGTACTGTTGCTATGACTACGACTGGAGGTGTTGGTTTGGCTCACAATATACGAACACGAACACCTTGTCGTGAAAGTAGACCTTCAACTTTCATGACACAATTTATATATTCATCATGACTGACACAATTTATATATTCATCATTCATTATTTATTTATTATTGTGACGAGCTGATTGTAGTGATTACAAACTCGAAAACCCTAAACCCAGACACATTAATGGGTCAACAAAACGGGGACATGCAGTCATGCACATATTTTATGCATTTTGTTGGGTAGAACACTATTTTATGTCCAATATTGCGCTTTATGTATTTAAACTAGTTCCACGGTCCAATATTGCGCTGTATATATAACTAGTTCCACGACAGGGAGTGATAGACAAACAGTGTTCTTCAACATTTACAAAGCTCAGAGTACACACCTTGCTATCGTAGTTGGTGCATTGCGTATCAGTAAGTAGTATAGAATATATATATATATATATACTAAGTCTAACTACATTCACCATCGCTATATTCGCCATTGCTACTATCTATTGAGTACGAGTTTATATGTCCACTGCTTTAGCCGGCATAGTCAACACAATGGCACTGACACAGTCACAGACGAAATGTCTCGGAGAAGTGGAGGATACAAAGGGAATCACATCAGATGAAGCGGTCGCAACGGGCAAACATATCGCACAGAACGTCACTTTCCCACTAGATGAAACGACCAAATTAGTTAGCGCGACCGAATCAGATGAAATCATCGTGTTAGATGAGGGTATCTGCAAGATTAGAGTGCTGCATGAGGGCACTGGTCCCGAGCTGGGTAGTCACTGCAAAGCCGGTGGGAAGGTATGCTGACGTGTACAGGAACAACGCTGCATGGGTACTATACAACATGCGTGTGAACAATCACTTGAAATCATTCATGTATGCCCTCCTTCAAGATGCCAATCTCCATGATCGCATGCACAAAGCCTCGTTAGGTTATGTGCTCTGTGTGTGTGTGTGTGTGTGTGTGTGTGTCTCTGTTTCTAAACACCAATGTGTATTCATGGAATACTGTTTCTGAATGATGGAGTCTTGACTTGATGCATGTACCCGACGCCACACACATAAATGATTAGGGCAACGTATCTATCTGTACATTCTCGTACACTGCTAAGTATAAGCTTGTAGCTATAACCCTCTATATCCAGCCGCAGCAGCAGTCTAGTGTGTTCTGACAAAATCTGGCTTGTGAAGTTTGCTACACAACTGTATGCTCTGTCCCAGTCAGTTATATACTACTACAGTCCTAAATCCAGTACCAGGCTCCAGTATTTGCTTCGACGATCAGTCCAACTCGGTAAGGGCCAAGTCCCAAGAGACCTGAAAAATCTTTGTCAAGTAATGAATAATTAGGTTATGATATAACTTGGCACAGTTTAGTATCAACTGAGACAAGCAAGTTCGTGATACCACACCAGCAATACTTCGGTATAGTGTATTGCTGTCTACAGAGCCCCTGCTACTGTTCAGCAGAGCCTCCTACGATGTACTATGCCCCAGGGCCCGGAGTACAGTGTAGTCGGGCTGAGACGTACTGTAAAGTACGCTGTACGCTGCTGTTGTCACTTGTCAGTTGCTATCGGTCATCACTGTCTTTCAATAATCTCGGATAGTTTTTATGACGTCCCTGAGATTGATATATCCGACACAAATAGTATATCCATACTCTGTGGAGGCTTCCGATTGACACCCTGTATCAGGAATCGCCACTCACATCCAAGCACTCGACCATTCACTTCAGGTGTTGCTTCATTTCAAGGCCTTGTATACAGACGGGCGCGTGATAGACAATAGCCGCGCCAGTGGCTGGCCACCCTTTGATCTGGTATTAGGTAGGTATACTCTTGTGTTTGTTATTACTGTATTGCTCCTGTGTGTATGTTGTGTGTACTGATTCTAGACGGATGTGTGCCTGTATGTACGCCCGGCCTCAGCTCGTAGCCCTGTTTCTGCTGAGCACAGACTGAATTGGCGTGCTCGTGTCCTTTCGCTGGCTTGATATAATTGTATCATGACTGATATACGTATGTGGAAGTCTGAGCTACCTATTTTATATATCAGGCATGCCACTACTGCAAAAACTGTGCGCATTTGTGGACTAATATCATTCCCCATCAATTGGGCGTCCCATGTAGTGCTGTGGAATCATTGGGGTTGTTCAAGTGCGGATATATATAACATCGTTGTGCATTGTGCTATAGCACCGGTTAGTGGCTGAAAAGCTCGGACTACAAGGTCAGGAGTTGTCTTGTGGGCGTTGGAGAGGTTCTGCGCAAGTACTCGTCCGCGATCGAACGGCGTTTCTGATCTTCCCTGTTCACAACGCCCCAGTCTGAGGGCATCCATTTCTGTACATCTGTTGTATATGCTCAAATCCCCGGCAACTATACGGTGGTAGTACCACAGTCCATATTTGAACACACAAACTATTGCTCCGCATGTACCGCTACTAGGGAAGAGCTTCAAGCTCAAGGCGTGGGAGCTCGCAGTGCCCACCATGCGATTGGGTGAGGTGGCCCGCATAGAGTGCTCCCAATTGGCTGCGAGTCCGTATCCCCAATTCTCATTGGTGCAGAGACAAAGGCATGCAGTGCCAGAGTCGAACACACCCCAGTCTCATGTATGAGTGCGATTCCAGTTATATTTGCGGGTGTTGCCCTGCGTGTGCGCTAGTTGTTTAACCCGGTTTTTCGGAGAGAACTATATTGTACTCAGTCACTAGCCTCTGTTGGCTTACAGCGTGGCGCAGTTGTCGGTTCTAAAGTTACCTATGATTTTTCAGGAGTAATGTTCGTGGTCGCCTTAGGCAGTCTGAGGGGTTGTGTATTCTTTAGTATTCCTGTAGGTTTGTGGTGAGCTTTTATGCTTTGTACAGTGAAAATGTGGAGAACTTGTTATGAGCCATTCTGTAACGATAAATAGTTTGCAATTCTATCATAGTTCATGTACCTTGCGCTTGTTAGCTGCATAAGGCACAATTTCTGAGGTACTTACTATATCGAACTATCGTATGATAGCACTGGATATTTTTTGGTATTGGACCCGCAGTTAATGATTAAGTAAATTATTATTTCTTTATTTTGGCTCACAATTTCTGCTTTCTAGACGTTCGCCTGGTGTTGTCTTCTCGCCACAACTGTCACATTAACATGTGACCAAATCACGACCACAAACAGGACCATGCACAACCGCACTCCTGCGTTGAAAAGCAGGCGCTGGCACTGGAGCTGGGTGATGGGCTCATTGAGATTCTGAACGAGGACCAGCTGGTGTTTGAGTTGGAAGTTGTAGATTACATCGCTCCCCACACTTACAAAGAAGAGTTCTGGGAAATTGATGTTGAAGAGAAAATCCGATTGATACCGTTGTAAGTGAGAGGGCCAGGACGACGTTTGGATTACCCGTGGTACTAGTGAGTTTGTTCTTAATCTTCGCTTTCTGTGGTCATGAAATGTAGCTTGTGCTTTGAAATCCTCATTGGACGGATGAATGTTATGCATTACAATAGTCTGACAAATATGCCACCAAAACATATCCCTGGAATACGCAGCTGCGAGGCATGAAACATCGTTAATCAATAGTAACCCGAGACTTTACCTCCTGTTATCTCTATACACCGAATCAGTAGTTTATCTAAAGAACCTATGGGAGTGTAGGCTGAGACTGTGCCGTTATGTCTACAATATACACGCAGATCGTAACTCTTCCATGTTGCCATACAGACCTCGCGCCTGTTCTCAGAAGCTTAGGGTGCTCAAACCGAGCGGATGAATATCTCTCCTTGATGCTCCAACAAATTAGCCTACTCGATACTAACCTTCAGGCTGACATTTACTCTGCATAACACCAACATATCGCGCACAACTCATATCTCCGAGGGGAGGGGGGGGTACAATACAGGTGTTCCCCTGCTCGGCTTTGCAGGGGTTTCCACCTGTCGAGGATCCAACTTATATCATACTCTCGCAATTCTACTGCCGCCTTTCGTATAAGCCACGCAGATTGCGCGAGGAGGGCAACACGCTGGTCCGAAACGGCCAGCACGCAGAAGCCTTAGAGTGCTATGTGCGTGCACTGCGGTACTTGGAACGTGTGAGGGCCGAGCCTCTGGGAATCCCGAAGGTAAATTAGGTTATCCGCATGTTGTGAAGTATTAGAATGGTGATTTTGACGGATATTGGGTTGGGGGGATCTGTAGCCTACGTTTGCGTTCTGTATTGCTAGCTGTGTGCTGTGCATTGTCGACAAACCCTGGCAAATTTGTGTACTATATACTTGTCGCAAGCATTATACTCTTCACTTGTTTGTCATTCACAGCCCATTCATGATACACACTCTATGCATCGTGTGCAGAAAACTCACTAGTTCTCACAAATTTTTTTCTGTGTGCGCCGCGCACCTCGTAGGCAGGACTCGTAACGCGAACATTTCACACGTCTGTTAACCTCGATGTGTATCCTCTATGCTTAACGGCCGGCTTTAACGCCTCACGGTGTTTTATTGACTAAAAGTCCAGCACAAATCGATGTTTGTTTTACATCTACTGGTGAGTGTCGCGCATAGTACTCTACATACGGTGCAATTGGCGCATCCATGTAGCATCTCGACACCACATTGAATTCCGCGATTCTTTTTATCAGTCAATCGACGAGTTAGAAACGCCGTTAGGCCTGAATGCGTGTCTATGCACACTGAAGACTGGTAGGTATGACGAGACAGTGAAATACGCGACGAAAATTCTGAAGCACGATCCTGAGAATACAAAGGCGCTGTTGCGACGCGGACGAGCACACCGTTTAATGGTGAGAATTTTGGTCGATTGTTTATAGCACAGATCAAACTAAAAATTGGACCACGGTTTGCAACGAGGATACGATTATAGAGCTAATGTGCCATGGAAGAGGTATTGACTGGCAACTGATATTTTCACATTGCCTCCGGATGTATTCAATCCGTTCTAGGGATTGGAGGGCGTACTCGTGATTTCAAGGTGCTTATGGGTAGCGCAGCAAAGTTATTTCATTAGTTTACAATCTGGATGGCATTGAATACATAATGCGTGCGTTGGAATGCAGCTGTTGCATAGATTATCTCGTTTTGAGACAACTGACGAAATCCTGATCGAAAATCCAACCTGAAATTGTTCATACAGTCGGACGTTGTCCAAGCGAGGACTGATTTGGAGAAATCCCTGCGAGTGAATGACGACAGACTACCCGAGGCTCGGAAGGAACTCGCGTTAGTGCACAAACTAGATATTGAGCTCCAGCAACGAGAAAGGAACACATTCAAGAACCTACTTCTATAAACTGGCGGCACGAAATAAATTTTAGTAGTACGATTTCGTGCGCACGGCAAGCGTAAATTGCAGTGATATGAAAGCTTGTGTTGACGCGGACTATATGGCTTAGGTGTATAATGAAATTTCATATTGTTTGTATCCAAATACATTTTTTTGAATACACATTTTAAAATTGATGTGCATGTATGACTGGCAGCATAAATACACAATGACCTACACTGAGTACATTCTCAAGTATGAATGCCTATGTATACTTAGGGGCATGTACCACATAAACCATTCCATCGTGAAACTTTATTCACTTATTTGTTTTCAATATTAACTTTTGATTTCAAGCTGCTTATTTCACTTCAAAAATACCACCGCAGTCATATGTAGTCAAGTTCAACATATTTATACTTAAATGCCACAAACATAAAATCGTGGAAAGGCGAAAATCGACATTTAAATATAAATATATTCTCTGTGAATGTTTGGCTATCGGCCTGTTAATTGGACTAATCGTATTTTCTATTGACAGCCACATGCACGTGCAATAAGTATATGCGCGTATATACGACTATATATGTGTATTTATATATATATATATATATATATATATATATATATATATATATATATATATATATATATATATATATATATATATATATATATATATATATAGTATAGTATAGTATAGTAAGTAGTAAGTATATAATAAGTAATAAGTAAT